TGCCTTCCATCCAGTAAGTATGTACATATTAGAACTTGTACGCGTTCTCTCTATGGTGATTAATGACTGCAGATTTTCATGCATTTAAAGCCTATAAGGGTTTGTAAGATACAATAAAGGACAAAACTTTCATCAAATCCAATATGTTTTTTGGTTTATTTGGAACCAAATATGATACTTGGGAAAAGAAAGAAATTCATACAGAAAATAAGAAACGTAAGAACTTCTTTTCCCTCTTAAATATCTTATTGGGTTCAGAATAAACCAGAAATCCGTTGTGTCTGATGTAAGTATTGTCCTTTATTGGATTTCGCAGAGCCCTATAGGCTATAAGTGCATAAAATGCGGAGTGATTAACTATTTTCGAATTTCAATGAAACGTATCGAATTACAGACTCCTCTCGATTATTGTCTGGCTTGTCCTACACGATTATTGTCCAGGCGTTAACCTCACCAAGCGTATACTTTCTTGCCCTTTCGCTTTTGTTTCCGAGTTTCGGGCTTCGGACAGAAAAACGAATGTACGAAGGACTGAAGCATTTCTCCCTATACGATTATTGTCCCGGCGTGGACCCAAGTTCGGTCTGTACAGACTCCTCTCGATTATTGTCTTACTTATTCTATACGATTATTGTCCCGGCGTGGACCCTAGTTCGGTCTGTACAGACTCCTCTCGATTATTGTCTTACTTATTCTATACGATTATTGTCCCGGCGTGGACCCGAGTTCGGTCTGTACAGACTCCTCTCGATTATTGTCTGACTTGTTCTATACGATTATTGTCCCGGCGTGGATCCAAGTTCGTTCTGTACAGATTCCTCTCGATTATTGTCTTACTTATTCTATACGATTATTGTCCCGGCGTGGATCCAAGTTCGTTCTGTACAGACTCCTCTCGATTATTGCCTTACTTATTCTATACGATTATTGTCCCGGCGTGGATCCAAGTTCGTTCTGTACAGACTCCTCTCGATTATTGTCTGACTTGTTCTACACGATTATTGTCCAGGTGTTTTTTTTTTTAAGAGAATTAGTTCTCGAGATTCGATTCGAGAATCGATTCCTCGAAGTAAATCGAACATCCCTAAAGCAACAGTCTCGGTGCTAAGAGATAGACGTGCGGGCGCGCGAACGACACAGATGTCGAGCCGAGAACAGCTACCGTCGAGGGGCATAAATGGTTGAACGATCCCGACCTCCCGCGCGGTGATCGAGCCTCCGACCATTTTTCACGAGTTCGTCCTGATATTAATGGCGCGTACCAGAAGACGGCGAGCGACGGTGCGAGACGGAAAGAAGCTCGGGATCGCGCAGTGGTCTGAAAATGTGTTTTTACTGGCGAAAAGTTAAACTGTCATTGGATTTTCGAAAAGTTGGTGAACAAGGGTTTTTGAGGTCACTGATAACGAACCATCGAAATTGACATAAAACATTTTAAATTCAAGATGGCGGATTCAATACTATACAGTTATGGAACTTGCAGTTCATAGTCAAAATTAAAATTATACACATATTGACTTTCTTTAATGTGATATATTATAGTTATTCAGTGTAAATAATGTAAGTAATATAATATAATTAGATAATTTATTTACTGTCGTATAGATAGTAATTACTATAATATGCATTTATAGACCCTAGAGCCCTGTGAACTACAATAAAAGACAAAACTATCATCGAATGCAACTTTTCTATTTTATTCTTAACTCAATAACGTACTTAAGAGAATATAAAAATCCTACTTCTGTTCTTGTCCTCAAGAATTGCTTCATAAAATTTTATGTTGCCAAAAGAACCGCAGTCTAGTAATTAAAATACTTAGTTCCACATTAAATTCCAACATTTCGCCTTCAGAACTTTATCTGAAATGAATAATATTTTGGATTTTCAAAATTAAAAGTATTACAATAGAAAAAGGATGTTCAAAATGTTGAATTTAAAAAATTAACTTTTGGCCAGTAAAAACGTGTTTTTATACCACTGTGGATCGCCGTGGTGTACGGGACGGTCCAACTGCTCTCGCGAGCGCGAGTACGCGAGAAAGCTCGTCTCTCTCGGGAGAGGAGAGGCGCCCGGGATCCGATCCGGACGGTCCCGCGCGTCGCTACTTACTGATATTTATTGCGGCCAGAAATGTGTACGAGCCGCCATAAATCTCCGCATTCACACGGAGTTCCTAATTTACATATTCTCCAGCGTCTCCCTCGCTCGCTCTCTCACTCTTTTTCCCTCTGGTCTCAGCGTCACCCTGCCACGCTCTCGGGGCCCCTCTTCTTTTTCGTTCCGGCCCTTCGTCGGCGACGCGAACGTTCGTTCCTCTCTTCTTAACCGCGTCGGAATTTTCTGTTCCGTCGCGAGAGCCTCGCGACACCCGTCGACCAGCTACCCTCTCGGTCTCCCGATTCGTTCTGCTTCTAACGAGAACAGAAGTCGCGTATCGAAGCTTAAACCCCTTTTACCAACCTTCTAGATTCGAACGGTTATAATTAATAATTTCCCTGGGCAAATTGATTTATTCACCAGCTCTGCTTGATACTCATTAACACTAGAATCTATCAGCGGTGACTATATGCTAAGTTAAATTGTGTATTTATTTATTTAATTAACGGAAATAAACCCTTTGGTATACATGTACAGAACGGGACATGAAATGAAAAAATTATAGAGTAAAGAAAAAACGGAAGAAATGAAGAAAAGGAAAGAAATGTATTATATTAATATGTGTAGTGTATAGTACAATACCGCTTAGTATAGTATAATATGAAATGTATAAGAAACTAAAGGTTAACATAAAAATGTATGTTCCAAATAAAAGTATCTCTAGGAATTTAGTAATTGTAAAATTAAAAGACCTGAAATCCGTCATTTTGACAGGTTTGGTAGTTCCAGTGTCAAAAACATTCCTGGCGTCATATCCACGCTATATTTACCAACATCACCCTAGTATAACATTTTCTTTCTTTGTACAAAAAATCTACGCCCGTTTATTTACATTAAATAAATTAATAAATAAAAAATCTGAAATCCGTCATTTTGACAGGTTTGGTGGTTCCAGTGTCAAAAACATTCCTGGCGTCATATCCAGGCTATATTTACCAACATCACCCTAGTATAACATTTTCTGTTTTTGTACAAAAAATCTGCGCCCGTTTATTTACATTAAATAAATAAATAAATAAATAAAAGTCGAGAGGGAAACATCGCAGGAGGTTACTATTAAGACGATTGTGGCCGAGGGCCAGCTGCCTCTGTGCACCACTACCAAGACTATTCAATCTTCGTGAAACTGTGATTTAATCCTACATATTAACCCTTGGCCATCCCTCAAGACACAGACAGAGAGAGCTCTGTCCGAACGCAGTTAAAAATATCGACCGTAACTTGCACCCCCTACTACCCAACCAGGTCGAATTCGCGTGGCGAAGCCGCGAGTAGTAAACGGTGGAATTAAGAATTCGAATATCCGTCTGGCGAAATTACAGGAACGAGATAGGACGCATCTGTCGCATGGATTTCATTAAAATCCTCGCCACGTCCCCGCAACGTCCTCCGTTCCAACGGGAGAGGTTTTTCGGTTCCCCCTGGCGTCCTATACTGCTCGCCTTAGCATTCGTGCCACCGTGGACTCATTCATTATTCATTCGTCCAATTCATCACGACAAAACCGTGTAATTTCGATCGAGATTCGTGGAGATCGATCAACTCGAAATCGACGCAAGGTTTCGTCGACGTTCTGGTCTCGAATCAAAAAGATCTAGAACAGTGGTCGACAAACATTTATTCTAAAGGTCCAAATAGTAAATACTTTATAACTAAGCACCCGTTGTATCGCGTATTTTGAGATGATTTAAAATTTAAAATTGTAACATCTATTCTTAGCTCCCGGGCCGTACAATTAGAGTAGTCTGCGGGCCTCCGGTCTGGGACAACAGGAAGGATCGAAAGCACCGAGAAAAGAAAGAAAATAATCGCGGAAATGACCGACGGAGGGTGGGACGATCGATCGTGGAACGACCGCAGGTCGGCCAATTCGTCTTCTAGTTGGCGATCTCGCGGGAAGAAATTCGGGGCGGAACGAGGCGTGAGAAAACGATTTCACCCGGGCAAGGTCGGGATCACGGTAGGCGTCCTGAACGCGTATTAACGGGGTTCGTTCCGTGGATGGGTGAAGGCGAGGTTTTGGTTCACGAGGCAACGCCGGATAGTGGGGGTGGCTGGTGGTGATGGCAGTGGCGGCGGCGGTGGCGGGTGGAGCGTCTTCCCCGAGAGCCTCGTAAAATGGAAATCAATTACATCTACGCTTAACCACTTAAACTGGTTTCGCCACGGTCCTAAAGCCCGTTTACTCGTTGCGTGGGGATGAGCAACGCGTATGCTGTGTCGGTATATACGCGGCGGCGTGAAGGGAACGCGCGTACCCGTGTGTCGGCGGTTCCTCGAGGAGGAACGGAGCGCGACGGAGAATACACCGACGTTGCTAGGACGAGGGTTATTTAGCCCTGTCGGAGGAACAAGGATAAACGATGTATAAAGGAGCAACGAATGGTGGGAGGACCCGGTCCCTTGCTCAGAGTCCTTCTTCTTCGTCCTCCTACTCCTGCTGCTGTTGCTGCTGGCTTCTGCTGCTGGGCTCTCCTCTTGCAATCTTACATCCTCGTCTTTTTCGCGTCTACGCTTCTCTACGTCGGTTTGCGGCTCGCCGCCAGATCATTCGTATCAACATAATTACAAGCTCGGGAGCCGCCTCTCTGTTTCTCTCACCTCGCTCCACCCATCACGACGTAACACACGATCGCTTTCGCGCCCCGGTGAAACCTTCCCCTCCTTCTCTTCCACCACTACCTACTTCTCCATCTTCTACTCTTCTTTCTCCTTCCTCGGGTGCGCTTCTCTTATCTACCTGGCCGCTTGGGACCCAGGATGATCCGCCGCGACATGGCCGTGGATACACGATACACTTCGTGTCCACCGACCCGATCTCGCGATACCAACGGGGGAGATCATCGTCGGTAGGTGTATGTGTAAGTATGCTCGTTCCGATCGCAACAAAGAGGAGAGACCACCTTTGAAAACCACCCGGTTTCCCACGGATCGTTCTGATTATTCGAAGCATCGTCCTCGTCTTTGTCATCGTCGTCCTCGTCTTCGTCTTCGTCGTCTTCATCGTCGTTCTCATTGTCTTCGTCGTCGTCCTCGTCTTTGCTTTCATCGTCGTTCTCATTGTCTTCGTCGTCGTCCTCGTCTTTGCATTCATCGTCGTCTTCTTCTTCATCGTCGTTCTCATTGTCTCCGTCGTCGTCCTTGTCTTTGCCTTCATCGTCGTCATCTTCGTCTTCGTCGTCGTCCTCGTCTTTGCCTTCATCGTCGTTCTCATTGTCTCCGTCGTCGTCCTTGTCTTTGCTTTCATCGTCGTCCTCGTCTTTGCTTTCATCGTCGTTCTCATTGTCTTCGTCGTCGTCCTCGTCTTTGCATTCATCGTCGTCTTCTTCTTCATCGTCGTTCTCATTGTCTCCGTCGTCGTCCTTGTCTTTGCCTTCATCGTCGTCATCTTCGTCTTCGTCGTCGTCCTCGTCTTTGCCTTCATCGTCGTCTTCTTCTTCATCGTCGTTCTCATTGTCTTCGTCGTCGTCCTTGTCTTTGCCTTCATCGTCGTCTTCTTCTTCATCGTCGTCATCTTCGTCTTCGTCGTCGTCCTCGTCTTCGTGATCATTCTCATTTTTGTCTTCGTCCTCGTCTTCGACTTCGTCCTCATCTTCGTCGTCTTCTTCGTCGTGTTCGTCGTCGTCGACCAGTAGGGTAGTAGAAGAAAACGAACAGTGGCGGACAGGCTCGATTTCGAAGCGCACAGCAGACTGTGTGGCTGCTGGCCCCGAATGCTATTCGCGTAACAACGCGTCGAATTACCAACTCCATAGAGAGAGAGAGAGAGAGAGAGAGAGAGAGAGAGAGAGAGAGAGAGAAAGAGATAGAGTGTGTGTGTGTAGGTGAAAGGGAGTGAGAAAGGGAGCAGCGCGGCAGGCCGGCTTCTGGGCTCCGGTCGAGAGGGGTCGCGAAGTCGCGTTGGTCGTGGAACGAAACGGCGGCCTTAAACTGGCTGCGCACAGCATCTGAAAATAATTGCTCGTTGACAGGCCGTGAAATGAATTTATTTAATTTCAGATAGGTATAACAGAATTACACGGCAGTTGAAGGCGCGATGAAGCTTGGCCGCGGCGTGACGAGCCACTCGATGAGCCAGGGGCAGCGAGCGGCGCAGTCACGTCGTCGCAGACCGAGCGGCACAAGACCGCCTCGGGAAACATACGAGAAGAGAGGAACCGAGAGAGTCGGGCACGGGAGGTGGAGAGGCTGCGTATGGTGCCAACACGATCGGTTTATTCTACAGGGGCAATCTTTTCCTTGTTGTTTTTTCGTTCATTTTGTTTTTTAAGTTTTCGTTGTCTGGAAAATGGAGAAGTAGAGGGAATGAAAAGGAACGAATGTCAGACGAAGACAGAATGCTGACTTATAGTCATGCTATCTTTTTCTAATATTTAACGGCCTATCGGTCAAATGCGTTGTTTAGGTATTACAGACTCATCTCGATTATTGTCCCAAACTCGGGTCCACGGACAATAATCTTATAGGGAGAAATACTTCGGTCCTTCCTAGATTCGTTTTTGTGCCCGAAGCCCGAGCCTTGGAAACCAAAGCGAAGGAGCAAGAAAGTATACGCTTGGTGGGGATAACGCCTGGACAATAATCGTGTAGGACAAGCCAGACAATAATCGAGAGGAGTCTATATACGTCTATAACTGTCACCACGGGATTCAGACTCTTTTTTTCAAGTGTCCACGACGCGGCTTCGACCGACACGTGGAAAACTGGGAAAACGATGTATTCTTGTATTCGAGGGGGAGAAGGGGGCGGAGAAGATCGGCGCGAAAGTTAATGAAAATTCGTTTATTTTTTGATAATCCGTGCTACATCGAGAATACGGCGTTAACTCTAAATCACTACCATAAAAGATTTTCTTATGTACAAATATTCCATTCGTCTCGCACGAGGAAAGACGCGTTAATACTATCGTGGTATATGATACATCTAGGACTCGCACAGATTTCTTTATCTCTCTCAATCTCTCACTTTCACACTCTCCCTCGATCTTTCTACACCACACCAGGCACACTCTTCCTCTCACTCTCTTTCGTTTATCATTCACACGTGTTCTCATCCTCACCTTTTTTAATCACACATACATATATATTACAAGTCACCGATTAAACGTCGCGGGAATATTTTATTGATTATTTACACGAGTATCGCTCTTCGTATCGAGGATCACAACAGACGGGTGTACGAGAGGAATCGATCAATTTCCGGTATAAACGGAAAGCAGACCCTCTTTTCTTTCGAATCCCAGAGGGGACACGAATAAACACACGTCTACGGTTACATTACGCGGAGGAAGGGGGGACACGCACAGAAAGAGAGAGCGAACAAGTACGGGGCCATTTTCCTAAGACTAACTTAAACGCGTACACCAGTGATTCGACTCGAGCGTTCGAGAGAATTTCGAGATTTTCTCTCCTCGGAAAGGGAAACCAGGGCGCGCGGTCCGATATACCGAACATCGTGACGAACAACGTGCTCACCTTTCGGACGTGTTTACGAGACGGCGGCGACAAACCGACCGAGACTCGGTTGCCTTCGTAGATACGCGAACCGATACGACGCGAAACGTACACCGTAATTTTTATGTCCACACACGGTGCCTAAAACACGTCGACTTTGATAACCACGGACTGTTACATGTATAGTACACTAGACTGCTAACAGATGAGAGAAAAGTGATGCAAGTGGTGGGGGTGTCTTATACATTGAGTTCCTATATTCTACACTGCAAATGGCGGACACTTATTGCGTCAAGTGTGTCCGCCATTTGCAGTGTAGACGAGATGCGCATCAGTTACTCAGTTAGTGATCTAGTGTAGTATACAGGGTGTAAGAAAAGTGTTATAGGTCCCAGAAATGGGTCACTCGTGAGGTAAGTTTTTCCTTAATGAACATATTATCCTAGGATTTGTTAATGAGATATTAACGAAAAATTTTGATTAATCATAACTCGGTCGGCTGACTCTCGCTCTGATTGGTCGGGGTTTTTCGGTAAGATCTCGTTAACAAAGCCTCGGATAACATTTTTGCTAAGGAAAAAGATGTTCCAGGTCACCTCACCAGTGACCGATTTCAGGGACCTACAACACTTTTGGTACACAAGGACCCCAACTGTCCAACATTGATTTTCAACGGGATTTTGTAAGATGATAGTATGCAGGTTATTAATAATTACATATGAAACATTGGGTGTAGACACGCGATAATTTTACACGACATAAACAATTGAATTCACGAACCTCCTAGATAGATTGTGAATACAAGTCAAAGTTAACGAAGTTCCGTCAGCAAAGTAAATAAAAAATATTTCGGTGAACAGGAATCGATTATCCCAGGATCTACGATTTCCCAGCCGACCAACCGATCAAGAAGACACCCTATAGTACATAACTAGAAACCTGTACACTATCATCCCACAAAATCCCGTTAAATTCCAAATCAAAACAGTCATTGCCCTTCCGTCAGTATCCCAGAGCCTTCGAAACTCATCGATGATTCATCGAACCCGCGAAAAGTGGACAGAACCCAGTCTTGACCCAACTGTATCTACATATACTTTGGCTGCGCAGGATCCGACTGTAACTACTTTGGCTGCGCCGCAGCGTCTTATCCTCCTCGATTCGCGACAAATCATGCCAAAAAAAAAAAAAAGAAAAACAAACCAGAACGAGCATCATCGTCGACGATCTCGACGCGAGCAGTTATCGAGGTCCGAGGCGAATCGGGGCCGAGCGCTAATTGGGGGTGTTCGGACGAGTTCGGAGCGACGGTGGCGGCGTGCTCGCCGGTGGCGGGTACGGGGTGTACCTGAGGGAGGTCGCGGAAGGGGGGGAGGATCGTCGCGAGATCATGGCGACGGGTGGGGGTTGCCAGGGCCACGGAAGGGCCGCTGGGTAAGGAAATGGCGCGGTGGCCGCCACCGCCGGATACGGCGACGTCGCGCCTGTCGCTGCCCTCGTCCCCGGATGGGCCTGTCCCACGGTCCCGTACAAGAGGGCCGTGGATGGCGTCATCCACGGTGGTAACGCGTGCGCGCTCTCGTGCTGCGACTGTTGCTGTTGTTGCTGTTGCTGCTGCGACTGCGGATGCTGTTGCTGGGCGCCTAACGCGGCAGCGGCGGCCGCTGCCGCTGCGGCCGCCGCGGCCGGCGAGGACATCGCTAGGTGCTCGTACAATCGGACCGGAGCCACGCCGCATCTGACCAACTGCTGCTCCATCAGCTCCATCGGATCTCTGAAACGGACGAGCAAAAAGATCGCGGTTTATAATCTTCTTACGTGTCATGTAGAAAATACAAATCTATGGTTTTCGCTGTAGATCTGGGGTCTAGGAATGGAGGGTATAATTTCAACAATATAGAAGGGGCACAGTTTACATTTTTCAGAAATATAGAGCGTGAGCCTTGGGCCGTGGAAATTACAATATTTATTATTTGCAGCTTTACGAAAGAAGTTTGCCGACCCATGCTGTAGATTATAGCTTCTCAAACTTGGTTCACTCAACCCACCCCACTCTTCAATGTATTTTCCTCGTTAACCAGTTTTTCCAAATTGTAAATTATCTTTATTATAAAAATTTCCGAGTGTAGTCGTGTGTGTGTGTGTGTGTGTGCAGTTAGATAAAGTCCTCGAAGAACCTCGAATCAAAAACGATACCCATTGTCATCCCGTCATCCGAGGGTCAAGGAAGAATGACACGATGAAATTTCCGCACAAGCGCGCGGTCAGGAGGAGGACAGGGGGAGGAACGTATGAGAAAAAGAGAATGGCGGTGTCACAGAGCCCGCGGAATAATTAAGACGACGTTTTCCCGCTGAGTGTATATCCTCTTCGGGGATCTCTCTCGATATACCCGCGACGGAATTAACCGACCGATGATTTGGTGCGTTAGACGGCGCACGGTCTTAATTAGGGTTAATTAACCAGCGATTGTAACGGTCGTCGTGGGCCCCGATCGCCTCGGTCGTTATATCGGCAGAGAATCGCTAACGAGCGAATTATTGACCGTTGAATGAAAACGCGACACATGCAACCACGACGACGACGGTGTCTCCTTCGTTGGTCGCGTGATATTCGTGATAATTAATGGTCGGCTGGTGGTGCTGGTGCGGTATCATTGGGCGACGCGCCTCACGTTGCACCGTCATTTCCTACTTTCGTGATTACGCGCGCGGGAGTGGTGTACGTAAACACCGTGCGATTATCGCCGCGACTATCTTAATTATTGAGACTTCATTGTCGGAGAACAGAGGAGACGGAGGGGCTCGCTGGAGGGATATGGTGACGAGGACGATCTTTCCAGTCGCACGAAGAGAAGACGGTGATCGACAATTTCGATTGTACGTGTACACGTTTAGCGAAAACACCCATTGAAACAGGATCTGTTGCTTGGGCACCGATGCGCGATCCCACGCGTCAGTGATGGGCAAATTCATTATCTTGATTAAGTGTTTCGAATAACGAATGAAAGATTAAATAAGAATTTTTCTATTTTCAATCGATTAAACATGGAAATTTCGATTTTTATAGTCGGGGCCGTTCCTGGCGGGGGTGCAGAAGGTGCCCCGCACATGGGCGGACGCAGATCGTTTATTATATGTAAAACTTGGACTAGTGAGAATAATAATCATATGTTTTCTGACGAGTATGCAAATTTTAGACCAACAGAATTTCATCACATTAATTATATACGGAATCTGTGTAACAATACTCGTATACACGAAGGAAGTATCTTTATGGGCAGCCAAAAATAGCATATGACATTTAGCCATATTTAGTGGATTAAATTCGTGTAGGTAATTAATGGTCGCTATTTATGAACCATAACATCATTACAAACATTATGTGTTACTTTCGTACTTATATATATATATATATATATGGAATACCAGGTGGTCAGCAACCCAGGAACGGCCCTGTTTCCAGTAAAATAATATTACTTCTTGACTGACTCGACACTTGGCAAACAATTTTTCATTCTCATTAATTGTTCAGAGGTCAGAATGACGATCTTAGATACTACTACTCCTCGATAATTATTCTTATTATATTCGAATAAAATTGTGCCCAACTGTGCCACCCGCGTCGCTCTCGAGAAAGCGATCTCGATGCCCTCGGAGAACCAAAGTTCGGTAGTCGTCCCTCGGGGAAGGAGCCTCCTCGAGAGTTAAGTGGACGAAAAGAAAACCTGATATACCACGGGCCACAGTCGGGATAATTTCACCACAGACCGAGTCGACAATGATACCCTCCTATCGATCATACCCCCGGTTCCTCGAAATCAACGTCTGCAGGAGATTATTTTTCACGGTCCTGTGTGCTATATGTATAACTACTGACTAAGAGAGGAGACCTGAGAAGTCTCAAATGCGGTCGAAAACACTTCGCCTTTCGCCTCGTCGGAACGGATCGTTCACAGGTCTCGCGGTGTCTGTAGTTTTCAACGAAATCGAAACGGGACGCTGATCCGGGCCAGCGAAGAAAGGGAACGCGAACGGTAATCGGGTCAGGCGCAGGAGTAGAGAGAGAAAGAACGACAGAAAAGAACGAAACGGAGGAAGGTCGACGGGGGTGGTGTAAAGACGATCGAGGAACAATGGTTTCAACGTAGAAATCCTTGGAGAATTTTAATTTGAATGTCAATAATGAAATTATTGAAAAAGAAACGTTTCGATAATTTCTTTTTAATACGAGCCTTATGGAACTGTAGTTCAGTTCTTATTTAGCTAAAAAAAAAAAACGTTTCATGAATAATAGTAATGCCATAAACAGTACAATGTTCCACGCACCCATTGGTCAAAAGTATTGCCGCACCGGGTTAATACAAATTCCTAGATCGTTGAATCTGTCTATAACCTATTAAATATCAACCGGTAGATAATGCGTTAATTTATTTATTTTCATACTATATAACGTTCATTCACTGGTAATGTTAATTTACCGATGCATCCACCCTATCAACTTCTGGGCTCGGATAACTCGGCGGCAGAAGGCCAGAAGAGACCACCGACGCGGTTTCCGCGACTACGAACACACTGGAGAACGGAAGTCAGCCAATGGCGGGCGGAACAACGGAATATCAATTACCCGCCGCGACTTCTGTCCCCTCCCGTAAGAAGCGTGGGTTAGTTTTGCGCGGTGACTTTGTCCAGGCCGGCTCGAGAGGGAAGCAGACGAAAGAGAGAGAGAGAGATAGAGAGAAAAAACGGTAGGGAGGAAGAGAGCCAAAAGGGCTCTGCGAAGGAAAACGAGCCCCGGCTGAAAGAGACGAGGGATTAGGGAGAGATCGTTGGGAGGGGGAGGGGGAGGGGGAGGGGGGGGGGAGGGGCCCGGGGCTAATCGCCGTTCTCTTCGAACGTGCAGGACCACACACCGCCCGCGTCCACGGCCATTTCTCTTCTCGTTCGTCTGAAATATCGCTGTCAAACCCTCCCCGAACTCTATTAGTCGACCGGTTACGAGAGCATCGATGATTCCTTCTGGTCGGGGGCTGCGCGTGAGAGGGGATTCCTCTTCCGAAATTTTTCACGCGAGATGTAAAACGGAAGAAACGTTCGCGGTCACCGAGTACTCACGAAAAAGAAGGTACAGTGAATTCTCGATAAGTGTTCGAAGACTCCTCGGCACTCGACGCTAAATATTTCATAAACTGATATTCATATGCGACTGAAACAAGTGTCATTGGCTTCGGACTTCGGCTACTCATCGAAGATTTACTGTACAGTATGAGTAATTGAAAAAAAAAATCAGTTGAAGAAAAAAAATACGTATCCCCTTATTTTTGACTGCTTAACAGACATACGAAGTTTCATCAAAATCGGAGGGGAACACTTGCGTGCCTTCTCTTGTCAGAGAGGAAACAGAGAAAGGCAGAATGCTGACCCAGAGGATGCAGTCTTTTTCTAATATTTTCACGGCCTTTCGGTCGAATGCACACACAGTCCAGTTATTATACCGTCTACGGTTCGAGGGCGCGTGCTGCGTGTCCCACCTATGGCGCAGGGTGCTCGTATACGCGAAACGGAAATGACGAGGCACTACCAGAGAAGTCTCTCTCTATGCATTAACTCTGGGCTGCGATTCACGGCGCGCCTGCGTAGCCTGCCGGCCTTGAATTATGTCCTTAATGTTTTCATAAAGCTTCCTTATGTACAGACAATAAAAGCCCTAATTACAGTGGTTCCGGAGGAACGGTGGAGAGCGTTCTCTGCGCCCCCGAGGCAGACAGGGCTATTACTATTCGCAGACATGCCCGGGCCTCTCGCGATCGTTACACACCGTGGCCAATAAATATTTCTCGTCGATCCGCCGACGAGATCCGTGGCTGCCGCGGCGTTTTCCTCGTAACGACGAGCCCGTGCTCGCGCGCACGGTTACGTTGGAAACGTTCTAATTACAGAGGCCACACCGTCGTTACTCGTACCGTGGGTCGACCGTCGACGTTCGCCCGCGGTTTGTGCTTCTCTCTTTCTCGAGGTGCCCTTCTGTCGTATCCATTACACGTGTCACACGATTGGACAATGATTTTTTCTGCTCACACGGGAAGGCACGAAAGTATCCCCCTCCGATTTTGATGAAACTTCGTATGTTTGTTAAGCAGTGAAAAATAAGGGATACGTGTTTTTTTTTTAATCGGCTGAGACGCGACTTTAAGGGGTGAAACCACCCCTCGAAGTTTCGATCTGAAATTTTTTTTTTAAAAACGAATTATATTTTGGAGAATTTGTTAGACATATTATTCTATATAAAAAACCGCGAACCTTGTCCATTAGAAGTTTTCATGTATCTCCTCGGGTTTTCGAGATAGTACTTTCGGGCGGAAACTTCGAGGGGTGGTTTAACGTTTACAGAAAAGTACACTTACGATAAGCAGAGAATTCCTTTCGTTTCTGGGAAAGTATCGATAACAATGTAATTCGGAAGACTGCAGACGTGAAGAAAATCATAGGGCTTAGGTTAAGTAAACTTTTCCATTGTTACTTTACAATCAAGTTGTAATTTGATTGTAAAGTCCAATAAGACGTCCCCATCAACTGGGGGGTCCCCCGTGGAACCAATCAAGTGCCCAGTGGTGGGGAGGTCGATGTCGAAAGACACTCAGGATCGAGGAGCCTGCGAGCACTCATCGATGATTTACTGTATAGCGTATCCCTCGCGTCCCCCTGTTCGTCGACGAATGAACAACGATCAAACGAGCAAGCACGTTGAGTTCACATGGCCGATCGTGACGACGAC